ATTTAACAGCCTTTGAACGTGGGATGATTGTTGGCGCTCGGAGCCATGGAGCGAGTATTAGCAAAACAGCAGAATTCGTTAAACGTTCAAGAGCAGCTGTTGTTAAAGTGCTTAAAGACTGGGCTGTCAGACGAAAATCTGGGTCTGAAAGTGCGAATTGTGGCCGTCAGTGACTAGTCAATGTTAGGGCAAAAGGGCAGAACGGACGTGGCAAGACTGGTAAAAGACAACAGAAGGGCAACAGTGCAGTGTCAGATTCCTCGCATCACCTTTCAACATCTCGTGGAGTCACGAGGCGGCCCAACAAAGTCATCTCGTGGAGTCATCTCGTGGCCCAACGAAGTACTGATGGGGTGGTCATAATAATCTGGCCACTCAGTGTGCAGTACTCTGTACTGTATATAGTATTATTTTCTATGTTGTATATTCACTGTCTTTTTTTTTATGTGTGCGTCTGTGGCGTCACCGGTGTTCCCATTTTTTTTTCTTTGATTATTTGTACTTTTTTGTCAGCAGCAGGTTTTTTTGCTGCCTCAATGCTGCTCCCCCTTCCGTGTCGCAGTTCACATTTTTTTAAACATTTTTTTTTCTATAAAAAGCCATTGTACAACAGTTTATAGTGCACCAAGCACCACATTTGTTAAAGTATTGCACCCAAACACCAATTTCCCATCCCACATTCTCTAATAAAATTTTATAATAAGCCCTGCATCATGTCTGAAAGGCCAACAGGGAGACAGGTGTGTTACAGGTCAATATAATTTGGATTTTTAGAGCAGGTTCCAATCCTGCGCTCGTTAAGAATAACTGAAGGGTTACGGTGTGAAGGGACCGCCAACACTAAAGGCCCAATTTTAAAGCACCTGTTGTAACTTTCATCCAACCAGTGGCAGAACTACCGCCGGTGCGGACGCACCAGGGCCTCGGGCCTCTAGGGGGCCCAGATATTATTGGCAATTTCAATGTCAATTTTTTCTTTATAAATGTTATTTTTGCTGCAGCAGGTTCTATACATCGTACAGATGTGACACTTTTCAGGCAGTTTAAGGGGACCCCCCAAGCATGATATTTAAAGGCATTTTTCGTTTTTATTGTGTCACTTTAAGCAATGTTAAAAACACTGCTGCTTTAAAAACGGTATTATTTAAAAGTGTTTTTTTCATTGATACATGTCCCCAAGGGCAGTACCCGAATCCCCATACCCTTTTTATGGCCTATAACTTACATATAAGCCTTCAAAATGGGGACATTTGATTTTTCGAGTTCAGGTCCCATAGACTTAAGCTGGCCATACACCTTACAATTATCTGCAGATTTTCTATGGTCAGATGGAAAAGGTGCAACAGATTCCTCCATCTAAACTTAACTGTTTGGATGGGCCAATCTGTTGCACTTTTTCCATCTGACCACAGAAAATCTGCAGATAATTTTAAGGTGTATGGACACCTTTACAAGGAGTTCTAAGTTCGAATTAGAACCGAACTCAGGTGTGTTCAGCCCATCACTATCCACAAGCACAGAGATAATGTCCTTAAGAAGAGATGTCAGGAGCAAAGTCCTTTTGCTGGGCTGTGTACACAGAATTGGAAGCATTCTTTTCTCCATCATCATCTTCTTCCTCAGAAAGTGCACAAGCAGAAAAAAGAAGGTCAGCAGTAAACTCTAAAGGAGAAGGAGAGGGGGCTGCTTATGCCCCTGTGGTCTGAGGACTGAAAGATGTCAGACGAATTGCCCATGAATTCCACCATCACAGCAGAAAAATCATCTCTGGACAGGATAGAAGAGGGTGCCCTGGAGGGTGCTGAGGAGCACCCTGTGGCAGGGAGTAAAGGGGAGAAGGTTTGACCTAATGACCCAGCATCGTAGGCAGCAGCAGTAACCCAATGCAGCAGTCAGCAGAAATCTGAACTCCTTTAGACCAAAGCAGAGTTGCAACAACAACTGAAGCAGTGTTTGTAGCCCCTCATCCTCTGGGAACAATATATCTGGGAACAGGCCTAAGATAACTGTATCTGCATCCTCACCAAATTCATATTCCTTTTGATTACCATTACGCTGTTAAATTGCTATCTTCATGATATGATTACAGCCCCAGTGATGTTTAATTTTTAACCAATAATATGTGGGCTTGGAATGCTGGAGCATTAAGTAGCTCTTACCTTGCTGTATATTGTTCTGTTCGGGTTGCTGGCTGTCCACCGAATCCCACTGAGCCTGACCAGTTATATTTGGTTTTGTTGTTTTTTTAGGAGGAGTTGGAGGTTGTGATTTCTAGAAATAGTAATGTGAAAAAATCAACACTCTCTAAAATTGACAAATATGAGAACTATTTTTCTAGAGATTTCATGCGAGTCTCAATTTGACTCAGTCTGCCCTGTTTAAAGGAAAACTCCAGGCAGAAATATTCTTAACCTTGCAGTGGGGCGACCCCAACACTGCAAGGGTTATGTGCTCATTTTTGTCTAGGGACAAAAATAAAAAAGAACCTCGAGAACTGGCTGGCTGCTAGAACGGTCCCCACAGCCTCTCTCCCCCTCTGCCCCTGCGATGGTATGTCCCTCTGCGTTCTAACATCCAATATACTATACAGGACGTGATGACTAAGCGGAGGGGGAGAGAGGCTGCGGGGACCAGACTAGCAGCCATCCATCTCAGAGGTTCAGGTGAGTATCTTTTTTTTTTCCATCCCTAGACGCAAACAAGCAATTAACCGTCACTGCAAGGGTTAAGAATATTTATTTCTGGAGTTCTATTTTAAAGGCAATGTATATTTTCTTTAACTTTTTTTCCAGTGTACATTATTGTTTTCAAAAAAGGTTCTTCTATATCTGTAGCCTGTAATTTTATATTTCAATGGGCCAGTTATAACGCTTATTACAGGCTTTGCTTTGTGCTTTACTATGCTACACAATGGAAGTCTTTAAGTCAGTGGACTCATTCAAAATAGTTGCACTCCCAATGTGGCTGATATCTAATCTTAACAGTTATTAAGCATAGGTGCTATTTCAGGCTGGCATGTAGGTCATCAGCTTCCTTTAGCAACTCCTTGGCTCTCTTCACAAACCCAGCTGAGGGGTTTTCCCTTACTCTAAAATGGTGTGGTAAGTGGATTGTAAGCAGGTAATTGGGGAGGGGGGTTCTGTG